TAAAAAAGAAAAAAGAAAAACACCCACAGATGACTCTGCAGTGCTGCACAAAGCAGACCTGCCCTGAGCAGAACGGAGCAAATAATCCAGGAGCAGTGCAGATCTGTCTAGCTGGAGAGGGGCCTGGCCCCAGAGCTGTTCTACAGCTGTGCTGTTTCCCAGCACTTTGCCCTGAGCAAAGTTTCCTTCTTTTCACCACAACCCCAATCTGGTGTTGAATTGGCACCAACAACTACAGACTGACATAATCATTTTTTTAAAAAATATACTTTATTAATTTTTTTACAGAGAGGAAGGGATAGAGAGTTAGACACATTGATGAGAGAGAAACATTGATCAGCTGCCTCCTGCACACCTCCTACTGGGAAGTGTGCCCGCAACCAAGGTACATGCCCTTGACTGGAATCGAACCTGGGACCTTTCAGTCCGCAGGCCGATACTCTATCCACTGAGCCAAACCAGTTAGGGCTGACATAATCATTTTTAAGTGGGGCATATTTCCCTTAGGCAGTCAGTATACAGACAGCCCTCGGGTTACGTCCGACTTGACGTACATCGTTTTGTGGTTACGTCACCATCTCCCATTTATTTATTAAAAAAAAAAAGTTCCATCATTTCGACGTATGTACATATGTGCTTTATTTTTTTAATATTATTTATTTACCACAAGTAAAGGTCAGGAATTGTTATATTTTTTTACATTTTTTTTTACTGTTTCACTTCATTACTGCTGTGTATATGCTCCATGTGAGTGACCTAGGTGCTTATGTAGGTGGGTTCTGAATTATAGCGAAAATCGCATTACATCGAGCTGTAGGAATGGACCTCTGACGTAACCCGAGGACCTACTGTACAGGCTCAACATAAGTACTCCAAAATGAAGGTAAGGTTACTATCACTGACAAGAAAATATAGAACAGATATAAAGGATGAGATCAGCCATCTATAAAAATGAAACAACCAAGAGGATTGGCTGTTTGATGCCTAGTACACAGGTCTCAGGTCTCAGTTCTACACTCCCAAGGTATAGACACCAGTGCACAGAGTCCCCAACAGAGGCCTAATCTGAGATGACCTTTCTCTCATCAAATTCAATAAGTTGGTGTAAAAATTTATAGCAGTGGTCTTTAAAGTGATATGTGCCTATAATTTATGATGTTATTGAATCCTATTATGTACTATATTAAATAATAAATGAATATGACCCCTGCCTTCAAGGAATCTATAGTCTGTGAGAGAAATATAACTATAAACAGATCAGAGTCAAATATGTATATAAACAAATGTGATAGACCAAAGGATGGAGCTTCTAACTCTCCTTGGGCAAATCTGGGGAGGAGGTGATAGTTAAACTGGATCCTAAATGATTAGTGGGCAAAGGCCCAGCCAGAGGGCAGTGGGAGAAGGGAGGAGGCCCAATGGAGAAAGCAGAGGTTGAGCAAATACAAGAGATGGCCCCTTCCCTTTTCCTCACTTACCCCCCACATATAGGGTGGTAGCCTAAGTGACCTTCTGAAGATCCAAAATCCCCCACTTCCCTCTCTCAAAGTGCATCATAATTCACCATTTCCCATTTCTGCAGCTCAACCAGAATTCACATTCTCTCAGTGCAGCTGCTCTCTTAAAAGGTTTTAGGAGCCCTACCTGGTTTAGCTCAGTGGATAGAACGTTGGCCTCCCAGGTTCGATTCCAGTCAAGGGCACATGCCTGGGTTGCGGGCTCGATCGCCAGTGGGGGGTGTGCAGGAGGCAGCCAATCAATGACTCTCTCTCATCATTGATGTTTCTCTCTCTCTCTCCCTCTTTCTTCCTCTCTGAAATCAATAAACATATTTAAAAAAACAAACACGTTTTAGGAGTCTGGCTGGGTGAAAGTAATCTACTTAAAGCAAGAATATATTCCTGGGGTACCATTAAACTGCAGAAGTATGCAGGGAAGAATTCTTTCAGCAAGGAAATTTTCAGATTCCCCTTGTGTATTTTGGTCTAGCCGCTCTTTTTTTTTTTCTTTATTAAATCTTTATTATTGAAAGTATTACATAGGTCCTCTTTTTCCCCCATTAACCTCTTCCAGCCCGCTCCCGCTCCCATCCTCCCCACCCCACCCCCCAGGCCCTCACCACCCCATTGTCTGTGTCCACCCGTTATGTATACTAGTATGCCTACAAGCTCATTGGTTGTTCTCTTCCTACCCACCCTCCCTTGCCTTCCCTCTGAGGTTCAACAGTCTGTTCATGCTTCTATGACTCTGGGTCTATTTTTGATTATCAGTTTATTTGGTTCATTAGATTCCACATATGAATGAGATCATGTAATACTTATCTTTCTCTGACTGGCTTATTTCGCTCAACATAATACTTTCTAGTTCCATCCATGCTGTTGCAAATGGTAAGAGTTCTTTCTTTTTTATTGCCACGTAGTATTCCATTGTGTAGATGTACCACAGTTTTTTAATCCACTCATCTGCTGATGGACACTTAGGCAGTTTCCAAGTCTTAGCTATTGTAAATTGCGCTGCTATGAACATAGGGGTGTGTATATCCTTTGTGATGAGTGTTTCAAGTTTCTTAGGATATATTTCTAGAAGTGGGATCACTGGCTCAAATGGGAGTTCTATTTTTAAATTTTTTAGGAAACTCCATACTTTTCCACAGTGGCTGCACCAGTCTGCATTCCCACCAGCAGTGATAGGGTTCCCTTTTCTCCACAATCTCACCAACACTTGTCATTGGTTGATTTGTTGATGATAGCCATTCTGATAGGTGTGAGATGATATCTCATTGTCGGGGTTTTTTGTTTGTTTGTTTGTTTGTATTTACTCTTTCTTTTTTTTCTGGCTTTGTTGCTCATGCCACTTTGATGGAGGGGCAAAAAAGTTTAGTTACTTCATTTCTCTCATTGTTATTTTGATTTGCATCTCTCAAATGATTAGTGACTTTGAGCATTCTTACATATGTCTCTTGGCTTTCTGTATGTCCACTTTGGAGAAGTGTTTATTTAGGTCCTTTGCCCATTTTTAATTGTATTGTTTATCTTTCTTTTGTTAAGTTGTATGAGTTCCCTGTATATTTTGGAGATTAACCCTTATCAGATGTATCATTAACCTCTCTTTATTTCCCTGAATAATACAAAATGAGGAGGTAGCAACTTGATCACCAAATTCAGATAATGGGATCATTCAGATAATGATCCCAGCCATGTTTTTCTCTTGACACTGTCTCCTACTTTGCTATGGTTCTATCAGTTTACTCATCACATTTTTACAAACTACAAACCTTGTGTCATAAAAGTATCTGTTTCTTTCCTCTGTTACCTCATTTCCTGAAGTTTTCAGGGCCCTAACTCTAGCTCTGTAGGAGCAATGGATGAGAAAGATTCTGAAGAGTCTTAAGAATCAACGTCTACCTCACATCTCAACCCAGCCCACCCAATATTGTCCAGCAATTCTAGCATAGAAGCCCAACGTTTCCTGGAGAGATGAGGATGCATTTGGTAGCTCAGTGCAGGGGATCTGTCCTGAGGAATTTTTTATAGCTTAAAAGAGTTTCTTAGGTGTGAGACAGATGAAGGAGACCAGAATCACCTCACATACGAGACCGCTGTCAGCAGTACTCTCCTGTCATACATCAAGAACAGCTGGGCCCAGCCGGCATGGCTCAGTGGTTCAATTCCCGGTCAGGGCACATGCCCAGGTTCTGGGCTCAATCCCCAGTGGGGGGCGTGCAGGCGGCAGTTGATCAATGATTCTCTTCTCATCATTGATGTTTTAATATCTTTCTCTCTCTTCCTTCCTCTCTCTAAAATCAATTAAAAAATATTTTTTTAAAAAAAGAACAGCTAGAAATGATCCTTATGTACTGACGATCTTGGCTACAGCTTCAGTCTCAGTTCTTCTTTCTGTCCATGCCCTGACTGGCTGCCCATGCTATTGTGGGTGTCCATCCAATCACCAAGGAATACCTAGCTCCAACTCACCATGACTCCTTAGCTGCAGCCAGTCATCCTAATGAGTAATCCAGAAATTATCCAGCCTCAATATTTACCCATCTTATATAATTTTTATCAAATATTGCATTGCCTGATGACCGCATCTCTTCCAAATACCACCACATCTAGGCCATCATGAATAAGCCAAATCAGGGCAGTTTTCATCCAATCCCCATATAATAAAAAATCTACCTCTACTTGCTATTGCAGAATGGGCCTCCACATTAATGTTTCTTCGAATATGGTCCACAGATTTCAAGCATAAGAACCACCTAGGAAACTTGTTTAAAATGAAGATTTCTGGGATACATCTCAATAATGAAGATTCACTAGTTTTAATGTGAAACATGAGTCTGCATTTTTAATAAATCCTAGAAATGATTCTTATGCTCATAAGAACCATGGTCTATAGGTCCCTGTCCTCCAACTTTCTAAAGAGAAGGTGACATCACGTGTGTGTTTCCCAACCACATTTCCTCCAATTACATTAGTAGACACGTTGGGTAGAAAACTCAAGACTGCTCTAGAGATCTTTAGCCCAAGGATATGACTTTATGGCTGATGGATCACCCTACCAATGTTGTGGGATTTGCTTATTAGGGATTTACCAACCTGGTTGATAGTCTGATGAGTCACATCCTAAATGAGGAACCATGATGTTGAGTTTTCTGACATCGCCCAGACTGATGTGAGATGAGGCAGGCTCTTGTCAGTTACAAACATATGAGACCCCACCCAAAGTCTTAGGAGCCACACTTTATTAGGAGGAGTCAGATGGCTTCTAACCCAGTAGTCCATTTAGGTCCCCTAGTGCCACCCCAACCTGGGTCTAGGGCAGCCATGGGCAAACTACGGCCCATTTGAAATGAATAAAACTATTGAAAAAAAAAGACCGTACCCTTTTATGTAATGATGTTTACTTTGAATTTATATTAGTTCACACAAACACTCCATCCATGCTTTTTTCCGGCCCTCAGGTCCAGTTTAAGAACCCATTGTGGCCCTTGAGTCAAAAAGTTTGCCCACCCCTGGTCTAGGGCATTCCAACCCCCTCTCCCAGCCCTGGGGACATTACCTCAGACACCACTCCAAAGTCCCTGTTGGCCAGGCCTACACATCCAAATGACCTCTTGTGCCTGACTTTTTTAAAATTTTCTCGTGTCCAGGAAATACATGTTGCTTTCACAGCCTTCACTCCTTTTGTGTTTTCATATTGGCCTCAGTTCCAGAATCTACTTCAAAGCAAGAATACATCCTTGGGGTACCAGCCATTTTAAAAATGCTCTCACACCACCTATACATCCCCACACAGGAGCTCCCCTCCACTTCCTGGGACACTCACCTTGAAGGCCATCTTCTTCATACATAGGGATGAATCATCATTGCTGATCCCATCTCTGCCAAGGTGATCACCACACATTCCAGAGATGTTTCAACACCTCCTCGGTGCTCACAGCTCTAGAAACCTCTTGCCATTTGTCCTCCCAGTGAAATCCACTATGTCCTAGTGTAGAATTCTGTAAGGTGATTCAATTCCACCTCATTTCCTATCCTTCTGTCTTCCTGAGTATCTAGTGACCGTGTCCACTGATTTTGTGCCTCCCACTCCTTCTTTGGGTCCTTTCTACATGGCCCCAGTGTGTTTCAGTGCTGACCCCTCTCTAAAAAGGCCAGTATTGCAGCGGAGTCACTTTCTGGTGATCCCAATTCCACTTGTTTCTGGCTTCTTTTATCTGCCACCAACTGGCAGTTTCAATATGTCCTGCGTCTACTCTAGCTCTGAACTCAGCCATGATGGTGAGGACTCTTTCCTGCTGGAGGCACTCATGAACACACCTTCAAGCTCCCAATACTTCTGATTGGAAACCCCTTGCCAGTTTTTGTCTCTGCTGTGACTGAGGCTACAGTATTTCTTGATAATAGTGGCTCCTGTCTAGCTCTTCTACTGTCATTATTCTCTGCAGTCCTTTCAAGCCTGTCCCATGCTATTAGGTATGTCTCATGCTAAGTCTCAGCCTCTCTTCATGCCCCATAAAGCCAGAGTAGCCCACCATACTTATAATCCAATCTTGATTTAGGATTCCCAGTCAGAAGGGGATAAGGCCCTATTGTCAGTTTTGTGAAGCTAAACTCTTATGGAGTGCCCCTGAGGAACGGTCTGGAGTCTTACATTGACGGTAGATTTGTGTTATAAGTATAGGGTGCTTCCCTTGAGAAGTAGAGATGAAATCCTCGGGAACAGACTGGTGGATGTATCCTTGAAGCGGAATACTGCTGTGCTCAGCACAATCCTATTTAGGCTCAGTTCAATTCATTTTCCATGATTTATTTTATTTTGGCTATATCAGTGTTTTCCATACCTTTTGGACAGTCTAGGGCACCCAACCTAAGAATACAAAAAATAAAAATAAAAATAAATCCCTCATCTAGGCCTCTATTCAAAGTAACCCTCTTGGTCATTTGTAGAGGACAGGCATAGTTCATGCATCCATTCATTTACTGATTCATTCATACATTATTTCAACACATTCTGCTGACTCTGCTCTGCCCAGTGATGAGGCCTGGGAATACAGGGTGTGTGAGCAAGCTCATGCTGAACGTGTCCTCGTGCAACATCTGAAGCACCTCACCTGGGCTGGGCAGTGGGGTAGGGGCCGGGGGCTTTCTAGAGGCAGCGATGATTATGCAGAAATCCACACAGACGAAGAGGTGATCTGAAGAAAGTTCTAGGCAGAGGGAAAGACTCAGAGGCAAGAGAATGCCTGGCCACTAAAGAATTGAAGTTCCATAAGACTGAGAAATAACTTGCAGTGGGAAGTGGTGATAAATACAGGCAAAGTTTTGAAGCAATCAGGTCATGGAGTATCTTAGAAAGCCACGTAAAATAATTGAACTTGATGCCATACAGCTTTCCTCAGGTGGAATTCAAACCTGAGCAAATGGGGCAGGGCCAGGTGTGGCCTAAAGGGTGCCAAGTAAAAACCAACTTCTGCTTTTACAGGTAGAAAACTGGATATGATGCAGGAAACTAGCTAAGTCACTGGCTCCTTAGCCCGAGGACAAGTCTTTACCTAGATCTCCAGGTCGGCCTTCTGGATCAGTGAGTTAAAAAAAGCAATATTTCCATGTTCCATCTCCCTCTCAACAACAGCAAAACAAACAGACAACAGCACACACCCAAACTCTAATGCAGTGCATCTATTCAGCAGGTTCTGGCACTGGAACCCCATATTTTTCCTGCCCAGAAGAGCCCTATCTGTTAAAGTTCTATCTCATCTGCCCTCAGAATAAACAATAATATCCAAGGTGTTTGTTTTATTTTAAGTAAAACCATTAACCTGGGTCCCTTCGCTCCAAAAATATAACTCATGTCTGAGTCTGAGTCTGAGTCTGAGTCTCTTTCTGTGTCAGGTACCTAGCTGGACTTGGGCAGGAAGACAGCCTCTGCCCTACTTCCCAGACCAAACCTGACACAGGCAGGCAAACCCAAATGTCCTCACTCGTCAGAACAGCAAGAGCTCCTGACCTTGAGGAAAGGATGTGTCAGCTGAGACCTGAAGGAGGTGGGGACGTTGTAGCCAGACACTGAGGAGGGAGATGAGGTTCCAGGCATGTGGAATATCGTATGTGAAGTCCTGAAGGGAAAGAGGGGCATGGCGATTCAGAGGTAGCCTCTGAGGGTTCCAGTGCTGATCATGGGTTTCCCAATTAGTGCTTGCTGCTGCTGACAATATCAGCATTTATTTAGTGTTTCTGTGTGTAAGGAGCTGTGCATAAAAGCTTTAGGATTGTTACTGCATCAAATTTTCCTAACAAATACTGTTAAGTACTACTACACAGATGGGGAACCCAAGGGGTCAAAGGTTAAGTAACTTGAGCAAAATCACATGGTTAGTCAGTGACAGGTGGAATTGGTATCTAGACAATCTGACTCTAGAACTTAATCTCCTAACCATTGTGCTACACAGCCTCCCCACTACATTTCCTCTGTAATGGGTGTTTGCTTCCCAGGCTGCCACCACCCTAAGTCCCCAGGTGCTGGAGTTGAGCTTCTGCTTATCGTTGCCTCCTGACAGGGTTCCCACCTCCCTGCAACCTGCCCTACAATCTTCAGGTGGCAGGCCTGCCCCTCTGCTGCTGGGGAAATACCAGTGAGAATGGGCCCTCCACCTTGGTCCTGCTCGTAGTTTACATCCTCAGCTATTTCTTTCATTGTTTCCTATCTGCCTTCTCACCATTTCTGACTCCTAGACTCCTGCTCCCTGAAATCACTGCCCATTTGTAGACTTATTTGCCCCTTAGATCTGACATGTGACCATCTGCCACTGGAATATCGTGGATGGCTCATATTGATTATGGTTTGCACTCATCCCTTGCATGCTGATGTTTCTGGCTGCTTTGAGTAAACACCTCATCCAGGAAATTCCACTCTCTGAACCTGGCCGCCTATGTGAGGCCTCCACGAGGGTGTCCATGCTAGTGTGGGGGCTAGATATCAGGCCTTGGTCTCTGGTCAGGGTAAATCTGGAACATTTTTGTTCCACAAGGTAAGAAGGGACTGAGGGTAGTATTAGCTCCAGGGGCCAGATGGCAAAGGTTGTGATAGAGGTAAGTACTTACTTAATTTGTGCTTTGTTACCCACTAGCCAAATCTTTATTGAGCATCTATTTGTATAAGCACAGTGCGAGGCATTAGAGATTTAGTCTCTGCTCACATGGAGGGTAACCTACATTCGCTGGTTGCCTACCCAATAGCCAACCCTCTCTCCACTCCCTAACAGCACCCAGACCTCACTATTGAGAATTCTCCTTCTCTCATTTTATATTAGCCTTGAAACTTCAGTGGGGTGGACATCACCCCCACCTCCTGCAGATGGGGAAATGGTGAAGGCCCAACTGGTCTATGACCGTGGTCGGCAAACTGCGGCTCGCGAGCCACATGCGGCTTTTTGGCCCCTTGAATGTGGCTCTTCCTAAGCCTTAGGAGTACCCTAATTAAGTTAATAACAATGTACCTACCTATATAGTTTAAGTTTAAAAAATTTGACTCTCAAAAAAAATTTCAATCGTTGTACTGTTGATATTTGGCTAATGAGTTTGCCGACCACTGGTCTATGACAACAAGAGTGGTTGTATGACACAGTCCTTCTGGTGTGATGTGGTGTGTGGATGTAAAATAACTGAACTTATATTGGAAATCAATTTGGAGATTTCCAGTATATCTGATGATTAAAAAAAAAAAAAGTCTGGAAATGCTGCCATCATTTTGCCATGATAAAGAAATCCAGGCAGGATGGAGCTTACACAAAAATGTAAACCCGGCCAACAGATCACAGAGCCTAAATCAAATTGTCCTGAAGTTCACTCTACTTATGGAATTTTCATTTACATAATTCAATAAATCTCCTTTAAGTTTATAAAAATTTGAGTTGAGTTTTCCATTGCTTAAAAACTTAAAACCTAACTGATGCATGGAGCTTAAATCTCAAGACCCAGGAACTATTCTCCTTTCTTTGGATAATAGCACTCATTTGTTTTGTGTTAGATTTCAGGACAATGCTTCTAAGGGGAGAGATCGTGTCCTTCCTCCTCTCATGTGTTTATGGCTAAAGCTGGAGCAGCTGCATGGGGCCATCAAGGAGAAGTGGACTGAGGAAGATGTAGGAGTTTGAGTCTTGAGAAGAAACATGCAAGCCAGAGACTGCATAATTCTGGATCTCTTTTACCTGAGAGAGAACTAAACTTCCTTTTATATCATACTCTTACTGGTATATTGGAAATTAATTTGGGGACTTCTGGCACATCTGATGATTAAAAAATAATAATAATAATAAATCTTTTTCCAAGGGGTTTTCAGCAGGGAGAAGAGCAGCCTGAAGCTGCTGGGTGCCACCACATGAAGCAAGCCTACCAGAAATCAACATACATGAAGGAGATGTGGACAGACACCATGAGTAGCCTGATGGCCTTGCCTAAGCCCCTGAATCCTGCAATTTCAGAGGCAGATCTCCTCCAGCCACTGGGTTGCTTACCTCCAGAATTGTTGAATGGTGCTCCCTGGAGTCAGACTCCATGCTAATCCTGTCCCAGCCACTCAGTTATGTGAGCCAATACATCCCTCCTCCACTTTTTCTGGTTTTGCTTCAGCCAGTTTCAGTAGGGTTTCATTCATTTGCTAGCAAAAGATTTCTGGGGGGAAAAACCCAAAACAAATAAACAATATATACAAACTGAGACGAACACTAGGAAGGAGAAACACAGGATGTTTTTGAGAGAGTATGAGAGGGGGCCTGACCTATTTTTAGCACACAGGGTAGGCTGCTCTGAGGAAAGGACAGTTGATAAGAAAGCTGGAGGAGAAGCAGTTAACTAGTGGAGATGAGTAGAGCCGGGAGAAAGAGTGGTCCAAATGGAAGTAAATACCCGTCACTAAGAGCCCGGTGGGGGCGAGGTGAAAAAAGAACTCAGTGCACTTGTGAGAGTGAAAGAAAGCCAAACCATGCATAACGTAGTAGATGAGAGTCTGGACTGCACAGGCTGTGGAGTAGGCAGGGGCCAGACTAAGCAGCCGCAGAACTGCTCTGTGTCCAGACTCCTGACGGATGCAAAGTAGCTTTCACCCAGCAGAGAAATAACTTGGCGGTGGATGTAGTAGTGGTGCTGCCAGGGGGCAGACTCGTTTAAAGACTGTCCCATTAAGACTCAGGCATTCATCTCCTAACAGTTGCTCTTGCCTCCTCCAACCAATTTTCCACTCAGCTAGCCAGAGAGAAAAGCATACATATCCAGCTACCCTTCTAAATTCAGTGGCTTCTCACTGCTCTTAGGAAGAAGTCTACAGATTTTAATGTGGCTTAAAGGACCTCCAGGATCTGGCCTGTACCCGCAGTATAGTCTCATGCTTACCATTCTTCTCCGTGCCTTCTCACCCGCCACCTTGGTCTTGCAGTTCTGCCTCTGTGTCACACACTTGCTCACCACTTGGCTTCAGGCCTCATAATGCCTTTCCAGCTAATGCCCACGTAACCACGCTGCCGTAGGCCTCCACTTAAATATCCTTCACACATTCCCAAACTCTGAAAACTAACTGGGGTCTCCCTAATATGTTTTCCCATAGGTCCTTGCTCTTCACCATTATCAGGCCTTGGCTACTGTCTGCTAAGCTGTGAGCTCTATGGGCCTGTGCCCCACCCTTTTCTGTTTCCTCGTGTCAAGCAGTAGTGCCAGGAACATGTGAAACATGCAGTAATTATCTGTTTAATATTCTATGTGCTCTAGAAGGTGGGGTGGGGGTGGGGGTGGGGGTGGAGAGGAAGTTAGAGGAAGAAAGAATTTCTACCACAGTTTTCCATGTGTTGTCATGGAGTCCAGTTTCTTACCATCAACAAGAAAAATTTGCATGAATGAAGAATTTCAAGAATTCTTCCAAAGAGGACATAGGTCATTACTCAGAGGCCTTTTAATGCTAAAACTCTGCACTGTCCTTGCCTGCAAGCCTTAATTGTGTCCCTGCCACATTTTTATAGTGTTCTTACATCGACTAAGCTTAGGCAGATGATAAGAGCACAGGCTTTAGCAGCAGACAATTCAGTTCAACACACATGCATTGCCTGCACTGGGTTCAAAATAAGAGAGTCCCTCTCCTGGTGAACTTACAGTCTAGAGTGGGCAAAAGACACATAAGTAGGTCATTTCAACTTAATGGGCACGCTATGAGGAAATTATGCAGAGTGCTTCAGAGGCAACCACCACTTATAATTGTGTCCTTGGGCAAATAACCACCTCTCTCAGATCCCCAGCTTCCTCAACTATAAAATGGGTCCACAATTCTTACTGCCAAAGGATTGCTTTGAGAACTAAGTGAGATAACATTTGTAAAATACACAGCACAGTGTTTCACACACAGGAGGCACTCAGTAAATGGTATCCATTCATTATGTAATAAGTCCAGAAGCCAGAATTCTTGTTCTATCTGTGCTGGCTAAATTTGTATGATTCTCCCACCACAAAGCCTATGCACTATAGTCATTTTATCAACACACTGTGATACTTGTCCTTGTTCACAGGAGAGTGTGGACAAGAAATGATGACAATATCAGCACAAATCCATAGCTGCTACTCAAAAAACACCTCAGAGAACATCCTGTGCTGACAATGAGCATGAACCGTTGTTTTAATATGTGAAGAACAAAATGTCCACGTTGTCACTGTAACTTCTTCCCACTAGTCCATCTTTTACTCTACTGCCAACGTTATATTTTACCTGCTGTTCCAGCAACATTAACCCTATTCCCTCCATTTAGAAATATCAAAGATTTCCTCTCAATCAGAATCAGACTCATAATTATGTTCTAGGCTTTCCATTCCAGCTGGTCCTTATCTCATGCCTTTCTGCTACAAATTATTAAACTAAATATTTTCTCTGTCTTTTGCCCATATCAGCCCTCCCATGACTCTGTCCCAAGGTCCCACTCAGGACAGCCTTGCGTGGAAATAGTCTCCAAGGCTGTATGATTGAAACACCCTCCCCCCCACTCCCCCTGCCGACCAACACCAAAGAGTCTTCCAGATGCTGGCCACTGAGATTAGGTTTTGGGGACTTACCCAAATACAAATGAGATTTGGTTGGCTTTTTCTTACTGATGAGATTTGACTATTCTAGATGAATCCTTGGTTTAAAGAACTGCTAGTGGACTTTGTTTAAAGCGTTTACTGTGTCATCCTGGCTGGTTTGGCTCAGTGGATAGAGCATGGGTCTGTGGACTGAAGGGTCCCAGGTTTGATTCTGGTCAAGGGCACATGCCCTGGTTGTGGGTTCAATCCCCAATAGGGGGTGTGCAGGAGGCAGCCCATCAATGATTCTCTCTTATCATTGATATTTCTATCTCTCTCTCCCTCTCTGAAATCAACAGAAATATATATTTTTAAATAGCATTTACTGTGAACTTTTCTCTCAGTTCTTTAATTTCCTCAAGATACCTGAAATGTGGGCTACACACACACAAAAAAAAATCCAGTAATTGCTACAGTAGCATTCTTCTTTTTTTTTTTTTAATTGCTTAAAGTATTACAAAGGGTATTACATATGTGTCCTTTTTTTTCCCCCGCCCTTGACAATCCCCTGGCCTCCCCTACCCCCCAGTGTCTTATGTCCATTGGTTATGCTTATATGCATGCATACAAGTCCTTCGGTTGATCTCTTACCCCCCTCCCTCCTGGCCCCCAACCCTCCCTGGCCTTCCCGCTGCAGTTTGACAATCTGTTTGAGGCAGCTCTGCCTCTGTATCTATTATTGTTCAAAAGTTTATAATGGTCTCTATTATCCATGAATGAGTGAGATCTGTGGTATTTTTCCTTCACTGACTAGCTTATTTCACTTAGCATAATGCTCTCCAGTTCCATCCATGCCATTGCAAATGGTAAGAGTTCCTTCTTTTTTACAGCAGCATAGTATTCCATTGTGTATATGTATCACAGTTTTCTAATCCATTCATCTACTGATGGGCACTTAGGCTGTTTCCAGATCTTAGCTATGGTGAACTGTGCTGCTATGAACATATGGGTGCATATATCCTTTCTGATTGGTGTTTCTGGTTTCTTGGGATATATTCCTAGAAGTGGGATCACAGGGTCAAATGGGAGTTCCATTTTTAGTTTTTTTGAGGAAACTCCATACTGTCTTCTATAGTGGCTGCACCAGTCTGCATTCCCACCAGCAGTGCACGAGTGTTCCTTTTTCTCCGCATTCTCTCCAGCAGCATTATTCTAATAATGACACTCACCCAGAGGGCAGAACCAAAAGCCAGGAGAGAGAAACCAACAGCCTAGATAGTGAAGCAAAGAGTGAGGGAGAAATAGTCCCAAGCCTTGAAACCTAATGGAGTCAGCCCACCTGGAAGCCAAAACTGTTTTGGACTGATAACTCCTTTGTACCTTCCACTCCCTTTTTGAACTGAAATGCTGTAACTGTTAGCTTATGCCAGTCCCACCATTGGAAGTTGGAAGTGAGGGGACAGGTAACTGGTCTCTATAGTTTCACAGGTCTACAAATAGAGAGGAATTGTGCCCAGGAGCCTCATCAGTGCCTGACTTACATGATGATATTTTTTACTTTTGAGTTGATAATATTTATATGAGACTTTGTACTTTGAACTGATGCTATATAGGGATAAGGCCCTTGGAAGTTTGGAGGAGGTACATGTATTTTGCATGTGGAATAGGCATAGATGGTTGGGGTTCAGAGGGTGGACTGAAGCGGTGTCCCTCAGTCCTGTATCATCACCCTCCTTTGTGGGTGGAACCTGTGAATAGGATGAGATATCATTCCTATGACTGTCACCTTTAATTTCAAAAGGGAGATTATCCATCTAGGCCTAATCTAATTATGTGAGCCTTTCAAAGGAGAGAGTTTTCTCTGGCTGGTGGAAGCAGATTCAAAGCATAAGAGGCTTCAATGCGAGGAGATTCTCCTGCTGGCCTTGAAGGGTTCTGCTGTGGCCATGTTGCAAGGGAGCCTGTGAAAGAACGTCCGTGACCTTTGAGAGAGGAGATTTATCCCCGGCCGACAGTCAGCAAGACAAGGACCTTAGTCCTACCATCACAAGGAACTGACTTCTGCCAACAACCTGGATGAGGATGGAAGCAGATTCTTCCCTCGTCGAGCCTCCAGAGGAGAATGCAGCCCGCTGACACTGATTCCAGCACTCCGCAGCATCAAGCAGGGAACTCCACTCTTGCTTTCCAGGCTTCTGACAGGCAGAACCGTGAGCTAATAAAGGGGTATGACTTTAAGACATGAAGTCTGTGGTAATTTTATTATGTAGCAAGAGAAAACCAATACAATTCTTAAATACATATGACTATATTCAATGTAAGTTTGCATTTGTATAATTGAAGCCAATTGTTATTCAAGTCATCAATTGCTGATTCTCTTTTTAGTTATAATAATTCAATAGCTAACAATCACATATCCCTACTGTACTTCCAAACTCAATCAAATCACACATTTCTATTTCCCTTTAACCCCTAAGGAAATTTTAATTCATCATGTTAATCACAGCAATTGAACTATACTAAATCAAAATTCTATATGTAGTAAGTTTTACAAGGGACTTGGGTGATAACAGAACATGTCAGGCCAAGAATGGTTGATGCAGGCAGAAGACGGTTGGCAGGCACTGCAAATT